GGTGCGCAGCACGGCGAACACGCGCTTCCACTGCCGGAGACCTCCACCGACCTTCTGCGGGCACAAGGGACGGGGCGCGCGCCTCAGGGCTGCTCCCCGCGGGGAGCGTCCCCCCCGCGCGGCCGCCGGGCTCCGGGGGGGCACCCGCCTACCTTCCCCTTTTTGGTGAGGATCTGCTTGCAGTGGAGCCAGCCCTCCTTCCTCACGGCGCTGAACGGGACGTCCGAGAGGTCGGAGGTCGAGTGCCTTTTGGAACGGGCGTCTTCGGACGTGCCGAGGCTGTCCAGGGACTGCGGGGGGGGACCGGAGGGAGGCGTTGGGTGCCATCCGCACCCCCTGCTCTGCCAGCACCCCACCAGGCAACCCTTCTTTGGGGGCACCCCCAGGACCCCCAACACAACTCACCCCATCGGTGAAGAAGCTCCTGAGCATGCGGAGGCTGGGGACCCGGCTGGGCATCCTCCTGGGGGGAGAGCAGCCCCCGTCAGCGGGACGGTGGGGAGGGGATGGCGGCTGGGGGGGCGTGGTGGGACTGGGAAGGGGGTGCATCCCTTAGGATCCTACCTTAGGATCTTGGCCTCGTCCCGAAATGCGTTCAGACCGTCGTCGCAGGACTTGGAGCGCTCGGTGGTGATGGCCAGCAGGTAGGACGAGCGGCGGCCGGCCTTGATGCTGCCTGCGATGGGGAGGGGGGCAAAGCCCACCCTGGTCAGCCCGGGGGCATGGGACACAGCTCCAGGGTGGGGGGCTGCTCCCCCCACGGCCCCCAGGATGGTTCTCCCCCCACCCAGCACTTACTGCAGTCCTGGGAATAGTGCCGGGACAGGGCAAAGGCGAAGGTGGGCGACGAGGGGCTGGTGGCGACGGCGGGCGCCGAGTTCATGGCGCTGGAAACCACCGAGGAGGCCGGGACGTGCTTGGCCTTCAGGTCGATGCTGGGGCTGGTGGGTTCGTCTGCAAGGGGGGTGGGCAGTGTTGTAGGGGGTGTTGGGGCAGGGGACGTCCCTGCCAGGACCCCTCAGCACTTCTGCTACGTGGTGGGTCTGTAGGTGTCTGGGTCGGGCAGGGGGGACACGCTCCCACCCCTGGCAAAGCCAGGAGCTGCTGGTGCACCCAGACCCTCACCCACAGCACCACTGCACCCCCCATCCCTACTCCATCCCTTCCCTTCCCACCCAGCCCAGGGGTCCCTCCCCGGGAGCAAGTACAAGGAAGGACAGGGCAGACCTGTGGCTCCTCCAGACCTATTTGGGACTCACCAATGAAGGGGATGGACGCCAGGGAGTCCTCGGGGGCTGCCAAGGGAGCCATGCGCCGGCCCGGCCGCTCGGCCACCGGCCTCTCCCCTTTGCCCCCGGGGGCCGAGGGCTCGCAAATGTCCGTCTCCTTCACCCCCTCGGGGAAGACAAAGTTCATCTGCCGCAGCGGCACCGGCATCTTGCGCCCCGTGGGGGGCTTCTGCCGCAGAACCACCTCCTCCCTGCGCTCCTCGGGCTGCTCGGCCGCTCGGCCGCCCTCCGGCCGCTGCTCCCGGGGCGCGGCGGGGCCCGCCGTGGGGCCGGCGGGCAGCGGTGGCAGGGGGGCGACCATGCTGTCCGTGAGCGGGGCCAGGGCCCGCTGGGCGATGCTGAAGGTGGGCAGCCCCCCGAAGGCCGGGTCACGGAAGGACAGGGCGTGCAGCAGCCCCGTGCGGCGCTGGAAGGACGGGCTGTAGCTGCGGTAGCCGATGTACCCCGAGTCGTCCACGCTCTGCAGGTTGGGCTGCGACGGGTGTTTCTGCACCGGCGCCGGCTCCCGCGAGGAGGACGAGGAGGAGGAGGAGGGAGGTGCGAAGGAGCCGTGCGGGACAGGCTGCCCGGCGCTCCCGGCGGCCCGGCAGAGCCTCTCGGGCGGCCACGCGGAGCGGTCGAGGTGCGGCGGGAGCAGCGCTCGGGGCTCCAGCGCCTCCATGGAGCGCCCGTACCTGCCCAGGGCGTGGTCGGAGCGGGCGCGGGGGGCCCAGCCCTCGCGGGTGGGCTGCAGCAGGGTGTCGTGCGAGGCGCTGTGGGGCCACCCCCGGTGGGCCGCGCCCGCCGAGCCCCCCAGGCGGTCCTGGGACACGCTGCGGTAGCGGGGCAGGGCGTGCCGGCGCTCCTCCGAGGCGCTGCGCCGCGGCTCCCGGCTGCAGAACCAGCGCGACAGAGCCTGCTGGCACTCCTGGCGCCCGGGCACGCGCTGGGCCACGTCCCGGGGGGGCCGCCCGGCCCCCGACAACCCCCCGACGGCCTCCTGGAAGCCGCAGTGAGTCCGGTGCTCCGGGAGGTGCTTGGGGGCCGCGTGGCAGGAGGTGGTGGCGGCGGCGGGGGGGGGCATCCCGTAGCGGTCGGGCACGGAGGATGTGGCGCTGCCGGGGCAGCCGGGGCGGGAGAAGGAGCCGGGGTGCCCGTGGGGGCGCGGGGGGGGACCCCCGGGCTGCGGATCCTCGGGGCGGTGTGCGGGGCTGCCGCCGGCGTCGCTCCGGGGGCCGGTGGCAGAGGGGCCGGTGGCAGAGGGGCGGTGGGCGCGGGGGTCCGGCGGCTGGCCCGGGGGGGGCTCAGCACCCCGTGCCTGGAAGGGGTACGTCTTCCGTGGGTAGCAGATGGGAGGGGGCTCGGGGATGCTCTGTGCCCCGCCCGAGTACGGCTCGTTGCCCTTCAGGTAGGCATCCTGGGAATATGCCTGTGGGGGGACACGGGGTCAGGGCGGGGGGACGGGGTCACAGTCCTCCCATTCCCACTGTAGGAATGATCTCTGCTCCTCCCTACCCGAGCTGTGCTCCCTACCTGGTTCCTGCCACCCTGGTCCTGCTTTCCCATGGGGTCCCTCCCCAGCACCAACCCCAGCCCTTCCGCTCTCCCCTCCCCTCCTTCCTAAAATACCCCGTCACGGCCGGCCCAGCTCTCCCATCTCACGTTTCACAGGCACCTCTGACTCCACACCGGGGGATTCCCAGAGCCCGGAGCAGGCACAGATGGGAGACCCCCCCCTTGCCAGGGCTATAAGACCCCCCAAACTCCATGGGAATGGGACCCCCAGGCCGGGGACGAGCAGTGGTGTCATCTAATACCCAAGACAGGACCAGAGGAGCACCAGGAGAAGGCCCCCTCACACCCCTTGGCTCAGGCCACCCTGCAGGGCCACTGTCACCCCCAGCTCCCAGCTCACCAACAGCAGAGGCACCCGGGGTGCTCCAAGGGTAAGTCAAACCCTGAGATCCAGAGCAACTCATCCTCCAGCTATGCCTGAGGATGTCCCCAAAAAACAGAGGCCACGTCCCCCATGTTCCTGCCCTGGACCCCTGGTACCTCCATCTCTGCACCCATCGATCCTCCCAGGATGCTGGTGGAGCCCTGTCCCCAAGTGTCCCTGAAACCTGCCTGGCAAACTCACCAGCTGGAGGATGTCCTCATCCTTGGGCATGATGGAGAGCTCCAGCACATCGTCACTGGGGAGAGGGGACAGGGGGGTCAGGCTGGACAGGGTCGGTCCCCACCTGCCCCCAATCTCACCCCCACGAGATGAACGTCCCCATCGCCACGGGACGGTGACAGCTCATCACTGCCTGTCCCTGTTTCCCTGCCTCAGGGTTCCTGTCATCCCAGTGACACCCAGGGGGACAGTGCCTGCTGTGACGTGTCCCCATCCCGTCACCTCCCACCCGCAGGAAGGGGACCCACCTGTTCTGGATCAGTGCGATGACCTGCGAGTAGGTTTTCCCGATGATGCTCTCCCCGTTCACCTTGACCAGCCGGTCACCTGCAGAGCCCCAGGAGGGCACAGTGTCACCACAAGGCCGTGGTGGCACCTGGATGTCCCCACGGTCACTCACGGCAGGGTTTGAACGGGGATTTTGCCAAGAGGAGCCACAGGGACCCCAAAACCAGCCTGACCCACGGGGACCCCAGCGCTGCTCTGAGCAGAGCAAGAGAGCAGAGCACTCACAGGGAGCAGAGAGAAGGAGGAGAAAAAAGAAGGAATGCAAGAAAAAGAGCAAAATAAGCAAGGAAGTCCCTGGCAGAGGAGCATCCCGTGGATCCCAGGAGCAGCCTGGGGCCATCTCCAGCCCCGTGTCCCCACTCACCCGTGCGCAGCCCGGCCTGGTGGGCCGGCCCGTCCTCCCGCACGTTCTTCACGAAGATGGTGTCCATGGGCTCCAGGCGGCTCCGGGGGGGACCTGCTCCGTGGGGACACACGATCAGGGAGCTGCCGGCACAGCCAGGACCACCCCACGGCAAGGAGCACGTTTGGCCCCTCGTGGTCACCTCCTCGCCTCCCCCAGCCCTGCCCTGCGGACACAGATCCTGCCCAGGGGGAAGCCCGACACTCGGGGCAGCTCCTGGTCCCCGTCACCCCCAGTCCCCTGTGAAAGACCAAAAGCCACCAGTGCCGGGTGGGCGGGTGGGCACGGAGCCCACGAGGGATTCCAAACCTCCCCGAGACCACCCAGACCCCGAGGTCAGAGCCCCCCGGCCCTGCTGGGCGCTGGGTGCCGGCTCTGGCAGCGCCGCCCGCACCGGCTCCCCGGGGAGCACGGCCCCGGCGCCGCGTCACCGCGCCAGCGCCGATCCGTTCTGACACCTTCACATTCACTCACGTCACCGGGAGCCTCCAGGAGCTCAGCGGGGCCGTGTCCCTGTCCCCAAACACCCCGTGCTCAGCGGGGGCCAGCACTGGCCACTCCGCAGCCCCCCCTTCACTGCGGGCAGACCTCCCCCCCGGGCGTGATGTCCAACAAAGCTCCGGAAGGGTTCTGGGGACACCGAGCCCCTCCAGGGCGCAAAGTGCCACCAAAGTGCTGCCAAAGCACTGTGTCACTTCACCTCCAGCTGAAATTTAGGGCTGTGGTCACAGCCACAGCCACAGCAACGCCCGCTGCAGCCCGAGACAGCCACGTGCCCCCCGTGCCCACCCCGGGGGTCCCGTGGCAGCGCCAGCACTCACCTGCTCGGTTCCCATTCTCCTCCTCCTGCCAAGAGAAGGGAAAAGCGTTGATTTGGTGGTGGGGTCTGTGACAGGGGGCTGGGGTGGCAGCCCCACGAAGCCCCCGGCGGGGCCGGCGCGTCCCTCTGGCCTCCACTGCCCCCGGCTAAAATTACCTCCTGACACCGGATCCCGGCCGCCCGCGTGGCCCCGGCGGGCAGTGGGATCTGACGGAGCCCCCCGCACCCAGCTGATGGGAAAGGGGCCAGTTTTGGGGCAGGGGAGTGGGAAAGGGGCTCCAGGGTGGCATCTCACCCTTCGCCCGGGGCCACCAAGCCTGGTCAGGGAGAGCCTGAGCCCCCACAGTGCGGTGCCAGGGGAGGGATCCATCTCATCTGTGGGATGAATCCTTGTCCCTCCCCATCTCTGCAGCCTCCCACTGCTTGGGGTGGGCTGCCAGGGCTGCAGTGGGCACTGCAGGGGGGTGGCAAAGGGGTCCTGCACCCCCTTCCCAGCCACGGGCAGGGGACAGCCCTGGGAGCCACATGGATCTGTCCCGTGGGGTGGGAATTGTGCTGGTGGATCCCCACCCTTCTATCCCACATTCACCCGTGAGGACCCCCCAGCAGAGCCACGGTGCCCAGGGGGGTCCCAGGCTGGGACAGGACACGGGGTGCTGCATCCACACTGCTGAGCCCCCAACGCAGACACGGAGCACCCCGGGCTCCTCAGCCCCACACACGTGTCCCAAGAAGGCACCTGGGCACCTGGAACGGGAATTTTCACTCCACCAGTGCCAGATCCTTCCATCTCTGGGGGGGGACACAGGCCTGGCCCCGTCCCCCAGCCAGTGGGGACACAGACTAATGTCCCCAGGGCACCAAGTCCCTCCAGGGTGCTGGGAAGGGCCCAGTGTCCTTCCCAGTGTAACAGGGGGACATTCCCAGCGAGGAGGAGAGGGCTGGAGCCATCACTCCCGGTGGTGGGAAGGAAGAGCCACATTCCACGGCCTCGGCACGCAGGAGCGGCTGCCACAGTGCCAGGGCAGGACCGTGGGGCCACCGAGAACCCCTGGAGGCACGGACTCACCCCCTCCCTGCCCCTCCTCGCCCCGTGGCATCCCAGAGCCCTTCCCGGCCCCCGGGGCATCCCGGCAGCCGCGCTCCCAGGGCCGGGCGGTGCCGAACGCGGCGCGCGGTGAACGCGGCACCACCGCCGGCACCGTCACCCTCCTCCCTGCTGAGTCAACCCACCGAAACTCAGCCCCCGGACCTGGCCGGCTGCCGGCCCCCCGCGGGTGCTGAGCCAGCCCCGCCGCGCCCTGCCCCGCCGGCTCCGCGGCCCGCAGCTATTCCCAGCCTCTTTCCAAGAGCATCCCCAGCTCCCGGCGCTGATCCGGCTCCTTCCCACGCGGCCGCCCCGGCAGGGCTCGGCCCAGGTGCCCAGCGGGGCAGGATCGATCCCTCGCTCCCGGAGGATCCTTTGGAGAGGCGGGAGCGAGCGGGTGGGTCTGGAGGAGCTCCAGGCCGTTCCCACGGCAGAACCAGGGCGACGCTGCCGGAGACGGGGCAGGTCCGTGTTCCCGGGGCGGGAAGACAGGAAGGATTTTGGGGAAGCAGAATACGAGGAAAAGCGCCGGGACGGAGGATGCTGAGCGGGGATTCCGGCGAGTCGGTTCTCCCCACCCTGTGACTCACTTCCCACCGCAGTTCCCTGTCTGCCAACGCCAGCCCGTGGGGCAGCCGGAGCCGTGGGGCAGCTCTGAAGCTCCGGGGGTGATGGGAGCATCCAGGTCCATCCAGGCTTGGAGCAGTGACGGATCACTTGGCTCCCAGACTCTTCTCCCTTCATCCACACAAAGCCGCTGCCGCGGAAAGCGAGGCGAGAAGGGGATTCCAAATTCCAGGAGATCGGAGCTGGTTCGTCCCTTCAGGTGCAGAGGGCTCCATCCAGGCTGGAAGCTGCTCATGGGATCCCTCCATCCAGGGGGGTTGAAGGTGCTGCCTGGATTGGGGCTTCTTGGCAGTTCAGGGGGTGCAGGAGGGTCAACCCAGGGCTGAGTCCCCCCAAAAGGCAGCACCTGGAGAGGGTCCGGCTGCAGCTGGACACAGATCCCGGGGCAGATCCAGTTGGAAGGCTCCCACCAATGGCCAGGAGCCTGGGACCCAAAAATCCACTGGGCCTTGCTGGCCTTGAGGGCTCTGAAGTGCCTTTTCCTGCCATTCCCAGGATGCTGGAGCCATCTCTCGGGGCCGAGGGATTCTCCCTGTTCCCACAAGCAGCCGTGTCCCATCCCAAAATGATCCAGAGGTGCTGCTGATTCCCAGATCTCCCAGCAGCTCCATGGGCTCCTCCATTCCAGGGACACCCATGGGGGGTGGGGGCAGCTCCAGGAACCCCAACAAAGCAGGTGATGACGGATGGTTCGTTCCTCATCTCCCAGAGCCCACCTGCCCACCCCCAGCCCAAACACTGCATCCAACCACAGCATTCCAGTGTCCCCAGGACCCCCCAGGACCCCCCAGGCCCCCCCAGGCCCCCCCAGCTCCCGGCCCTACCTTGGCCGAGTGCACGGCCGACTCCGGGGGGTACACGATGAAGTGGCGGAGGGTGAAGCCGAACCCCCCCTGGGAGCTCTTCCGCAGCACCACTGTCTTGGGCCCCACCCAGGGGAAGGACCCCCCCTCCGGGGGCACGTTGGCATTCGGGGATGCTCCATCTCTCCGGCCCGGCGTCGGCTGTGAGGGGGGGACAAGGATAAGATGTCACTTCTGGAGAGGGGAGGGGGGGTACAGGACCAGCCCCCCCACGTGCCTACCCCTTGAGCTCTGCCCAAAAGGCTGCTCCACTCCTAAGACACCCCCCCCATCCCTATTCCTCCCTATTCCCAGCCCTCCAGCGGCAAATTCCAGCCCCCACAGCCCACCCAGCCCAGCAGCATCTCCCCCCCCCCAGACTCCTCGCGTGGGACCTTTGGGAAGAAGATGAATGGAAAGGAAATAAAAATAAATGAGCTGTGCCTGGGGGTGTGGATGGGACCCAGGAGGAGGGATGGGGGCGGATGGCTGAGGGACTTGGGGACAAAAGGTCCCTTCTGGTGATGCCGTGGCAATAACCTTGGGCAAGGCGGAAAGAGCCGTCCGGGAGGTGGTGGGATGAGTGATGCTTCCCGAGCCGGAGCAGGGACCTGGCACCGTGTTGGGATCTGGCAAGGGACACTGCCCAGAGCAGCAGATGGGGCCAAAGGGGATGTGGCTCCATCCCACAGCTCCCAGTGCCAGTGCTGGGAGGGGCAATGGGGTTGTGGCGGAGCTGGAGCAGCCACGGGCATCTCTCCTGGCACCGAGGCAGGGAGCTGGGAGAGGCATCCGGGAGTCCCAACACCCTGGCTGAGGCCAGGAGGGTTTAGCACAGCCCCGGTGAGGGACGGTGCTGCTCCCTGTGCCGCACATCTGGCTGCACATCTGGCTGCACATCCGCCAGCCCAGCTGGAGCGGGAGCAGCTCCGTGGCCAAGGGGAGGAGAGGGCACTGCCTGATGCCCTGGGAGCACCCAGCTCTGCTAAAACAGGAGAAACTGGCAATCTGGGAGCTGGAGGGACAGGCAGAGCAGTGGATCCACCGGGATCCGCTCCCGAGTGGCAGCTCCTTCCCTGCTGCAGCCGTTGGAATCAGCCCATCCTGGGACGAGGGTGTTAAAATTCAGGGGCTGTCTGGGTGGAAGCGATGGATGGGGAGCGGGGAGGGGACAGGGACAAGGGACACAAAGGGACAAGGCACAAAAAGCCTTTGTCTGTGCCTGTGCTGAGTGGGCCTTTTCGCTGCCGGTGGGGAGATCTGACGGCAGCTCGGCGGGGCCAGGCTGCACCCCCTGTCCAGCACGTCCCACACGGAGCCCACGCTGGGAACGGGGGTCCCGTCCCCCTGGGGATGGGGTCCCTGGGGTGAGGACACGCCTCTGGCACGAGGCATCGCCCCCACCCACCCGCTCCCCCCCTGCTGCACAACCTGGCAGGGAGGCACAACCGCTCCGGGTGCTCCCACACCCCAAACCAGAAAGAACACCCCAAACCCCACCATGGGAGAGAGCCGGAAAACCCCAATACCTCCCGACACCACACAGGCAGCAAAGTCCCCCACAAGCCCCCTGCCACCCCCCCCCGCCTTGCGCCGCTCAATCCCAACGGAAAACCCAACCCCAGATGGCAGCAGGCACCCCACGCTCCCGCGGGACCCCCATCCCCGGGGGCGGCGGGGTCGGAGCATCCCGGCGGCGCCCGGGCCCATCTGCCCTCCATTGTGCCGGCCCCGGCTCGCCGGATTATTTTTAAGCTGACAGCTGAATGTGCCCCTGCTGATTTTAACCGGCACAGACAGGCCCCGGGGAGAGGGCAGGATGGATGCTCCGAGGAGACACCGACGGCGGCACCGGCCCGCGGGGAGGGCGGCGTGTCCCCGTTGTTGTTGTGGCGGCCGTGACACGGTGACACGGTGCCCAGGTGTGGTGGTGGCACCGTCCCGCCCGCCGTGCCTCGGTTTCCCTCCTCTCCCATCCTGACTTGAAGCTTTTGTCGGGCTACAAAGCCCCCCCAGTCGCGGGTTTGGATCTCCCCCCCCACGCTGGCTCATGGCCCTGCAGATGCTCCTGTTCACCCCCCCCGCAGTGGGGTTGGCACCCAATTTGTCACCTCAGCCGTTTGTCCTCAGAGCCCTCTTCCTCCTCCCAGATTTTTGGCTTTATTTAACCTCATCCTGGGGGTTTCTGCTGCAATACCACCAGCTGCATCCTCATCCTCCTTATCCCAGTTCTCCTGGGCCCCCATCCCATGAAGGCTGCAGGGATGGGGAGGAACCCCTTGATCCTTGGCACAGCTTGTGCCAGCGGCTGTGACACCCAGAGGCCCCCACCCAAGTCACCCTAATTCCCATGAGGTCCTTTATCCCCCAGCAGAGGTGTCACCAGGTCCCTGTACCCCACGTCACCTCCCCACCCCCACGGGGACACGAAGGGATGGGTAATTCCCACCGGTGTCCCACTCCTGCAGAACAAAGGAGTGTTTTCCCTGCACCCCGGGGCAGGGGGGGGGGGGGCAGGATCCATCCCCCCCTCCCAAACACGGCGAGCTGAGCACCGGGAGCAAAACACCTCCACGAGCAGGAGCCTGAACCCCCACCCCCGACCCCAGCACAGGAGGAGACGAAGGGGACACACCACAGTCCGGGAGCTGTGACACCCCACCCTGCCCTGTGGGACCCCCCAATCCCTTCAAGGCGCCCCCCCCGCCCCCCCAAACCAGGCGCGACCCCCGGCTCTCGGTTCTCACCCGGCGGCCCTTGTCGGTTCTGCCCCCGCGGCCGGGGCGGGGGGCCGGGGGCGGGCGGGGGTCGGGGGCGGCAGCGTGTCGGCGGAGGCTGCTCAGCCAGATGCAGCGGGGCTCGGGCGAGCTGCAATCCACCCCGACGGGGCGCTCCAGGCGCCAGCCCTTCCCGGAGCGCTCCACGCTCCACAGCCTTTTGGGGCTGGGGGCTGGCGGGGGGCGGCAGGGACCCCGCCGCGCCCCTCCGCCCGCGCTCTCCTCCACCATCCCGCCGCGCTGGGGGGGCTCTCAGCCGGCGGTCGGCACCCCCCCCATGGGGTCCCGGCAGCCCCCCCCGGGTGGGCTCGGGCGCTCACACCCGGTGCCGCTCACACCCGGGGCCGCTCACACCCGGGGCCGCTCACACCCGCTGCCGCTCACACCCGCATCGCCGCTCGATCGCTCGCTCACAGCCCACCCCCCCCCGCCGGCAACGCAGCCCCCACCCAGCCACCCCCCCAGCCTCCCGGCTGGATGGAGGGTGGGATGGATGGATGGATGGATGAAGGGAGGGAGGGATGGATGGAGGGATGAACCAGCCACACGTCCCGGCTGGGCTGGCGGGCTGAGGCTCCAGCTGCTGGCAGGGATCAGTGCCCAGCCCACCGCCCCCAGCCAGCCACCCGCCCCCAGCCCACCCCCCCCCCGCCCCCCCGCCCCGCCTGCGGTGTCACTTTTGCCCACGGACCTTTCCATTTTTTTTTACGTTTTTTTTCTTCTCTTTTTTCTTTTTTTTTTCTTTTTTTTTTTTTTTAATCCGCCCCCTTCTTCCTCCATCACCCCGGGCAGCATCCCACCCTCCCCGCTTCCTCCTCTCCCTCCTCCCGGCCCCTTCCTTCCTTCCTCTCCGCAGGGCACCGGGCGATGCCGGGGACAGGGAGAGGGACAGCCCGGGGGTGCAGCGTGTCCCCTCCCTGTCACCACCGGGTCCTGCCAGGGGGGAGCCAGTGGGGGCTCTCAGACACTCCGGGTCCCCTCTCTGTCCCCGGCATCCAGCAGAGTCCAGGCAGCAGGGACACACATCCTGCCCCAAGCTCTGCTGGGGCAGCACCCTCAGGACCCAAAGAGCCCCCTGGAGACCAAAACAACCCTTTGGAGGCCAAAAATATCACCCCAGAGACTGACACTTCCCCCCCAGCCCTCTCTGCTCAGAGCCTGCGGCAAAGAGTGGTGGCTCCAAGGGCACTTCCCACCAGGAGCTGATCCAAGAGTCCCCCCACAGCCCCATCTCCCATTTTGGGGACACCCAGAGGTCCCTGTTGCCCCCCCCGGCACAGAGCCACCAGCCCCCACAGTTTGATCCGGGCTCCCCAGTCAACACTGGGCACACAAGGCACAACAAACCACCCTCCCTGCTGGTTCTACTCCACGGGGACAAACCCCCCCTTCCCCAGCCCACCCCACAACCCCTCTCGGTGCCCCCCCCCGCTCTCCACCACGGCAGCAAAAATCTGGGAGGAACAAGTTAAAACAGCAGCACCTTGGCGAGCCCGGCACCCGCAGACACCCAGCCCGGGCCGGGTCTGGGGGTGGGCAGTGCCCCCCTGCCCCGGCTCCCCCCGCGCTGCCCGTCCCTGTCCCCGCACGAGGGGGTCCCGCGCTGCATTCCTGCCGTGCTGGAGGCCGAGGAGAGGCACGTGCGGCCACGCCGGGGAAATGCCGGGCATTGCTGGGATTGCAGCCCGCAGCCTCGGGGCCAGACACCCCCTCGTGCGTCTCACCCCCTCCTCTCCTCTGCCCCCCCTCCCGCCCTCGGCCCCAGCCCACCAGGGTGATGCCACACACCGGCCACCAGCGAGGGGACAGTCCCGGGGCGCGGTGACACACACGAACCCCCTGCACGCTGGCAACGCTTTGGTGCCCAGCGCCCACCCCGGCCAAGGTGCCTCAAAACAGCCCCAGCGCCCACCCCAACCCCGCCGGGGGGGCTGCACTGGCTGGCTCGGTGGCAGCCGTGCCCCCATCTGCCCACCCCCGGCACACCCAGGGCACCCTCAGGGGCCTCCACGCCGGGGAGAAACAGGGACGGGGAAACGTGGGAGCCAAATCCCCGCCATCAGCTCCACCCCGGGGCCACCCTGATGGCACC